TAAACACATCTGAAATAAATGCAGATTCATTGTCAGGAATAATAACATCTAGAAATCTGGACACAGAAAATCACTGGTACAGAGCTGTTATTGTAGAAGCAGACACTGTGAGGCATTTTGGGAAGGTAGATGAAACAAGCAAAAAATCTCCTTCTTGCAAAAAAATAAGAATTCTTAACCAAGTCTTCTTGACCATTTTTTATAGGAAGGAAAGGGTCCTTTGGTGTATTGTATGGAGTGGTTTGGCATTGACTATCATCTTCTAAATTACATAATTAATTACAGGCTTTTAATATAATTGTTAATGTATATATCATCATTCAAAGATTCCTAGGTGAATTACTTGTATTATTGCTATAATATGATGATGAATTATATGATATCTCTATTCTGACCACTGTAAATTAAGGATTAAAGCTTTGATTGGAAATTAAAATCTAAACTATATATTTGGGAGGCATTAACATAGTTGAAACTATGAGAGTAAATAGGCTTATTGAATTGATTCATGTGAGAAAACAATAGACCTAGAACAGTCTTTCTTCAGTATGTATCATATTCCTTATTTTCTTCTATGTCATTCTTTCTTTCTATATTTCCTTTTTTTTTTATGAGAAAGTAGAATGATTCAAACTAGCTATAAATACATATACATCAAGGGCCATGAATCTAGCTCTGGCAGTAAAATCCATGTTTTTATTACTAGATTAACTTCTACCTATTCACAGTGTCTGATGGGATTACAGTGAGAATCTCTCATGTAAGTTAAGAAAGTAATTCTTTTCCTAAAATCTGCTGTTAGCTCTTGCTTTCCTCCTATGTTGAGAACATTTCTAGTCAGAATTCTGTTTATATGCTGCTGACAAGTAGTATTCAATCTAAAGTAACTAACAAGTAGTATTCAATCTAAAGTAATTTTTTAATTCGTTTTGAAATATTAGTCCTTTTTTTCAGCCTAGTATGGCTAACCAGCTATTGTCCACATAGTTTTAGGTAGGCATCAGCATGATAATATGGAACTGGTTTACAATCTTAATTTCAAAGCATATTGGAAGGCAAGTTTTATGAATAGTGTTGAGAGACTTAGATGACCTGTCAAATCAATTCATAAAATTCCTATTTTGAAGGGGAAATTAAAAGTCAAGGTGATGGAAAGGTTATATTCATGCATTTGCAGGAGATGAACGACATAGATAGGATGTCTTTGAAAGCTAATGAGAAAGCTACTTGCCAGGCAGGTTGTTCAAGAGCAATGTCAGCAAGTGAAATGTGTTGCTACGTTTGGGGAAATGATTTATGATTATGAAAACAATGAAACTCATCTTGGTAGGAGCTGAGTTGAATGTGGCACATCTGTCTTTGGACCTTTCGACTCTCCCTCTTGTCCTGTGACCAGCACAAAATCAGTTTTTGCTTATGAAGAACACTGTCCAAACCTGGCTTCCAGTCAGTCATATATATACTTGGTGTGATTTTAAACAAGAAAATTGTTGTTATATGCTTTGGTAAACAGGTATATTTACTTTAGATTCATATTTACTTTCTCTGTTTTAACTGGCTAAATTCGAACAAGATATGCTTAATTAAACCCTAATAAAATATTGTGCTTTCAAAGACAGGGCCAGGCGCAGTGGCTCATGCCTGTAATCCTAGCACTCTGGGAGGCCGAGGCGAGCAGATTGCTCAAGGTCAGGAGTTCGAAACCATCCTGAGCAAGAGCAAGACCTCGTCTCTACTAAAAATAGAAAGAAATTAATTGGCCAACTAAAAAGATATAGAAAAAGTTAGCCGGGCATGGTGGTACATGCCTGTAGTCCCAACTACTCGGGAGGCTGAGGCAGCAGGATTGCTTGAGCCCAGAAGTTTGAGGTTGCTGTGAGCTAGGCTGACGCCACAGCACTCACTCTAGCCTGGGCAACAAAGTGAGACTCTGTCTCAAAAAAAAAAAAAAAAACCAGACAGTATGTAATATTAGAAGAACATGTGATTTTTCTTTTTGAAAAAATTAGCCCTTCTCTTTTGTTTTCTTGTGTTTTCTTATCTCCCTGCTGTCATGTATGCTCTGACCTTCCTCTGGAAGGGATATTTATGTCATATTCTTACTTATATATTTCTAAACCATTTTAATGTAAAATAAAGTAAGTACAGTTTTTTTTAAACTTTTTTTTCATAATTAAAAAAAGGAATCTATACCGTGAAGGAGTTATATTAATCACAGAGTAGCTACTTCTCAGAGTTTGGCTTTGAGGCTTTTAGTTGGTCTAGGGCTGTAATATATTCTACTACTACCTTAAAAAAGACAACCCTTTATGTGCTACTAGAGAAAGGCCACAATTAGGGCCAAACTGCTTGTCACTTTATATTCTTCAGGCCTTTTAAACTGTCTTCCTTTCAGATGATGCATTTTGTAGCTATTGTCACTTGTGAAGTTGGAAAGGGAAAAGGAAATGAATAATATGATTTGAAGGGGGTGTAGAGAGATGTGAGTCTTGTGATGATCCTTAGGATTTATAGAAGCCTTTAAAGCTATTTGTGCTGCTTTGTGGTGCTTTTCACACTGTGTCAGTTAATATTTCATCTTTTACTCCATTTTTATGCTCTAAGATATAGAAGATGTTTTAAAAATTGTTCTAATGGCCGTTTTCTTCTCAACCCCCACCCAAGTCTTCTGGCTCCTGACCAACCATGTTAGCTTCTTTGATTTAATCTTCATAGTCCTCTCACTTGCAAAATACAAAATGAATGCTGATTTGCCAAGATAGACATTTGGAAAGATATTTTAAAATGGCAATACAGGTTCACCTGCAATTATGAAACATAAAGGCACTTCCATTTAGCCTCTGATGAATATAAATATTAATGTTGAGATCAGTTCACAATTTGCTGTTATTGTGACTATTTTTTAAGTTACATTTCACTTAGTTGTAGAACAGCTTAGTCTGGAAAAAATTTCTTTGTATTATATATAGTATATTAAATTTGATATAATTTGGGGAAGTACTTTTTCATCCTTTTAAATATGCCACAATAACCTGGAAGTGAAATAAATATTTCTAAATGTCTAAAGCAAAATATCAGAATGCAATAAAAACATATTCTGATAGAAACAAAATAAATCCATTTCTAAATTTATGTTATTCAGATAAAAATAGCTCAAGAGGTAGCCAAACAGAATTAATGACAATGAGGGTATCACAGGCCAAGAGATTCTAGAAAATAATCAACCTAGGTTCATGGGAGTTTGCACTAGGGAGAGGTTACTATTAATATATACACTGCAATATTCAAAACTATTCCTAGTCCTAATTCACTGATGAAATTATGGGGTTTTGTTTGTTTGTTATTAACTACCTGTAACACAATGAACAAGAAAACAGTGCCCTCTATCAGTCGGAGTGCAGAATGCATTTTATTAACACGAATCAGACTATAGCAGGGAAAGAAAACCCCATTGATTGGTGGTACAGGCCAATAAAATAATATATTTTATGTGAGATTTTTTTATCAGTAGTTTGTTGATGAGGAAAAGTTAAATAAGGGAGAGAAACACACATTTCCTATCTCTGTCCCTGATGTTTGATTAAATTATGACAGATGATGTAGCTTAGCTTCCTCAGAGAATGATCTCTGGTAAGCAGCTCCTAAAAAGCAGACAGACTCAAAGCTTCTAGTATGTGGTTCCTAAAACTATGTACGCAGACTGGTGCCCATCTCACTACTTAAAATTGACAATGGGTGCTTCTTAAAAAGGGAAATTCCAAAATCTCACCTCCAGAAAAGCTCATTCATTAGGTCTCGGTGGGCACTGCAAATACCATGTTTTACCAAGCAGCCCAGGCAGTTGTGATGACTGCAGACTTGAGAAGCAGTGGCTTTCTGTGCCTCTGCCTTTTGCATTGGTTTGCCCAGGCAGCACCAGATTAGATGGCTCTACATGTCGCCGCCATCACCACGTGGATGCTCTCTCCTCTTCGTAAATGGGAGACCTTCTCCTCTCCCCAAAGTCCTAGTTTTTCTTGAGACTTGTTCTCTTGTTTTGATCTTGCTGTCAAGGTTGGAATGGGAAACATCATTTCTTCTAAAGGAATGTTTTCTTTGGCTTTTGATAAATGAGAGAATGAACAAATTTCTTCACTTGGTGTGTCCTGTGCCTTCTTTCACCTGTTCCCAAACTGTCATTCACTGCGAGCTATGCGAGGCCACGTCCTGCCTTCTGCATTCTGTGGTCAGCATACTCTCAAAGACCTCATACCTATATGCAGCAGACACATTGGGAAAAAAAAAAACCAAAAACACTGACATTGCCGCTTATGATTTACATGTAATTTTTCCTAAATGCATATGAATATTTTTTCTCTGTCATATGCAACATCTGATTATGTGTGTTAGCTTTGATATCATCTATGTTAGTAGTGCCCAGAAGTATCAGAAAGTGGACCTTCTGCCAACACTCCTAAAGGAGGTCCATGAGCTCATAGTCAAGAAGGTAACAAAGCCTTTGTTTCTCTCATGACCTACCAGTGTCTGGAACATCCCTGTCCACCCTTCATGACGCTATTGGGAGATGCAGCATTGAAGCTCTGATTTAGAGGCTATGTAAGGTCTAGAATCAAGGTCTTCTGCTTATAATGATAAAAGCATCATTGTAGGCAGTTAACAAAATCTGTTAAAGTACAGAGAGAGATGATACTCCCTAGGATGGAGTCCGTAATGATGTTAGTTGTTTAGAAAATTAAAGAGAAAATAAAATCAAAACTTTGCTTCACCTATTCATATTTTTTAAATAAATAAGGCATACTCCTTTGCTCTCGTAACTTTCAGAAAAGCGTGCATCTTCGTGTGTCCCTTGGTAGCTTTGCCTGCTTTATTGGCCATGTAGTTCAGCATCATGAGGTGCTGGAGGTGTTTTTATCTCCGCCGCCCCCCCAGTCCTTTGTCAAGTAATCAAGCATGCTCGTGAATTCACTTTAATCCTTGTTTCTTTGTGTTTTGTTTTTTAGGTAAGTACTTTTGGTATTCCTCTTCTTTAATGCTGTGAGAGAATGCACCTGCCTGATGTAGAACAAATGGCTTTTGGAAACAAAAACCAAAAGGTAAAAACATAATGTGAACAGTAAAGAATAACACACCACGTGATGCTGGTAAGGATTCTAAGCTGTAGTCGAATACCCCTCTATTTTCTAAGGGAGGAGCCTAGCCTTACGGAAGATGGGGGCCGGGTGGAGTGGGGTTGTTGCTGTGCAAGTAGAAAGAAGGTAGGTTACAGAGAATGTTTATGAAATATTCATTCACACCTGCTTATTGGTGAGATGAACAGCCTGTGGTTCTAAGCTGGAAATTATTCACTTAAATGCAACTTTGAAATATTGTCTGAAGATCCCAAATGGAAACAGATGTGGGCAATATCGAGAGATTTTTTTTTCAATCTGTCAGTTTGTTTCTAAAAGAAGGCTAAAATTTTAAAAATAATACTTAATTTTTGCTTGCTTAACTATGAAGCCTTATACTTAAATGGTTTAGGAACATATGATCATGAATATATGTATAAGCTTCACCTAGTAAAATTCTCAAAGCTTTTGATAATAAATGTGTATAATCTATATAAATGAGAGAAATACCAATGAACTCAAACATAATCTATTCCATATTTTGTGGGTGTCTTCTCTTTCTTATTTTACATGTATGGCTCCTGTGTACATATGAAATAACATACGGAATACAATTGTATTTATAATGGTATTTTGCCTATATTTGCAGTCATTTTTATATTGCTATAGATTTCAAGATTTAAACATGTGTGGTAAATAGTATGCTCATGTCAATGTCAGCATTGCCATTTTGATAATAACACATTAACTCTACCATAAATTGAAATTTTCTATTGAATATAAGTGAGTAAATATATTATTAAAATACATTAACATTTATGATGAACAAATCGCAAAGGTTCAAAGGTTTTCGGGACAGGTGCCAGTGACTAAACGTTTTTTCTCCCAATTACTGTGCGTACCTCATTCAGTTTTCTGCTCCATGAGAATGTCATCCCTCTGCCTCTGCTTCATTTAGTTTTTCTCTGTATTCAACTCAGACTCCATGTCATGCACAAAGAAAGCCTCCCTCAAGTCTTCCAACACATGCTGGTTTGTCCCTGCCCTAAAATCATTCTTTAATAGAGTCCATGTATTATGTCTGGAGCTGCCATAACCAAGAACTGTAGACTGGTAGTATAAATGATAGAAACTTATTTCCTGACTATTCTGAAGGCTAGAAATCTGAGATCTAGGTGTCAGCAGGACTTGTTTCTTCTGAGGCTCTCTCCTTGGCTTGTGGATGGCCGTCTTTTCCCTGTGCCTTCATGTGGGCTTCGTTCCACATGTGTGTGTGTCCTAATCTCCTCTTCTTATAAGGACACCAGCCATATTGGATTAAGGCTCACCAGAATGACTTCGTCTTAACTTAATTACCTCCTTAAAGACCCTGTCTTCAAAGATAGTCATATTTTGGGGGGTATGAAGGGTTAGGACTTCAATATATGAATTTTGGGAGTACACAATTCAGCCCATAAATGTCCATATTATAATTTCTCACTTCATTAATCATTCCATGTATATTCATTCTGTATTCCCCAGTTAGATCACATTTTAAATTTTCTTTACTTTGTTCACAGTACTTAGAGGGCTGGGCACATAATATTAAATACTACATATTTTTTGTCTAAAAGTACTGGAAAGAGTAGAATAAAAGACCAAGTGAGAGTCCTTTTTATTATTATTGTTGACTTCAGCACCCTTATCTTGACAGAAAGAAACCAGTATCAGAGGTCTCAGATCAGGCAGTGGAAAAATGACCTGTCTATGTTTTTTCCCTGGAAGCTCCATGAGCATTATGGTCAGCAGAGGCAACTAGAGAAAGGAAATGCTGATCTCTGCAAATGGGCAAAAGTATAAAAGGTGTTGAACCCAGCCACATACCACAGAAAAGAATTTGGGCTTGTGGAAAATAATTATCTAGTTATGAGTCTTCAGAACTAGAGGCAGATTTTTGGAGGGAAAAATCATTAATACATTTATAGTCATAAGATAGTAGATTGGATGTTCTGGAACTAAAATAAATTTTGGTTCTAGAAATCATGTTTTAAATTCTGAAAACATACTTAATTCTTACTAGTAATTCTAACTTTGCACATTCTGATTTAAATGTAAGACGATTATCTCATTATATTTTAAGTGCTAAAATGTTGGCTCAGTTTGTATGATTTTCTCTAGTTTTTATTATATTCCATTTTTCTTAATTTCAACAGCTAATATTCAAAAGTATTTTCTGTGCTTTAAAATAGGATCATCCTAAATGCAAATTATGCAAATATGATTTAATGCTGATGTAAACATAACTCCACAATGTTAGAGAAAATCCTAAGAAAATACAAAACTTACCAAACTTCAAGATAACCATGTTACTGTCTCTTACTAGACACAAGTCCTTGGGTGACTTACTAAGCTGACATGAGTCTGAGGTAAAAAGGAAATCTGTAAAAAGGAAATCAGAATACCTACTTTACTGGGTAGTTGCTGATATTAAAATATGCAAAGCAGCTAGACCTGTCCTTGCAGAATAGTTGAGCTCAAGAAATGTTCTTTTCTTTTATCTCTCTCCTTCACGTTGAATTTTGCCCAGTGGATTATCCATCTATCATAGAGAAGTGGAGATTTGATTGATTCGTTGATTGAATCAGCATTAAACAATGTTTATGTATTCATATCCACTGTATCCTGGTTTCATGCTAGATATTGGGTAAATAATGATTAGAAGAAACATATAACTCCAACTTTCATGGAGAGATGGACATTAACTAAAAAGTCAAAAAATACATGTAAAATTTTAAAAATAAGGGTTATGAAGTAAATGTATACAGTACTAGGAGATTTTGTAACAGAGAGACATTTCTTTTGGGGGGATATATGGCAGATGTCAGGAAATATGCCTCTTAGGATGTAACAATGAACAGATTTTGAAGGCGTGTGTGTGTGTGTGTGTGTTGTGTGTGTGTACACGTGCATGCATTTGTATATGAGTTTCAGTAGTCATCATGGTTAGGGTGGTGGTAGTAGAAGAAGAGAAGTCGGAGAATGAGATAATAAAAAGAGGAGTATCTGGGAACAGCATGTGCAAAGCCCTGATGTGGGAAACAGTACTGTGAGGAGAGTATGGTTTATCAAAGGAAGGCTGGTGCGACTGGCATGCAGAGAGCTAACAGGAAGACTATCGTGAGGAGAAGATAGACAGGAAGGTAGGGGCTGATTGAGGCAGAGCTTTAGCTTTATTCCTTAATATATTAAGGAATTTGTCTTCAACCCTAAGATCAATGGGAAGCCAAATAAGAGGCTTTAGTGGGTGGGAAAGTGAGGTCTATACATATTCTGATTTGTATTTTGAAAAGATTTTTTTTTTGCTTGTCCTGCAATGCCTTGTCCAGAAGATATAAACTCAGAATATGAATGTTTATAGCAAGCATATAGACGTTTGTTACCTTATAGGTATATTTTTATTACATTATTTTTGCATATGTGATTGCTGAACCACTTGAGATCTTTTAAGGTTCCGACATATTCTATATTCTAAATCGATGACAGTTAAAAAAGAAATGTTGACTTAAACATCCAAGTACAGCTGTTAATTTAACTCAATTAGTAAAATTTCCTAAGGAAATCTCTCTGCACTGAGCATTTGCATAATCTAGCAATGGAAAATTTAAACAATAGAATGATTGTCATAATTCCCCTGGAGGGCCATTGTTATCAGAGATGAACCCAGAGGCACCTGATTTTAGCAGAAGGTTTAATAAGTGTGTGATGCAGTGTAGGGAGTGTTATCCCTCTTAATCCTCCAAACATCTGTAAACCAGGTTGGCACCTGTCATACATTTTAATAATGCAAACTTTACTTGGAGATGGTATGTGTGTGAGTTTAACCTCATTTTTCACTTCTTTCACTAGCTTTCTATGTCAACCATCTGAAACAATGGTTATTATAATCAGTACAGATTCATATAAGAGGTATAGGAAATTGGAGGATTCCCACATGGTACATGTTTTCACAACAAAGCTCGTGTTTCAATATGATGTGAACACATTTCTGTCCTAACTATCATTTCAACTGTGTATTCTTCCCTTGCCTGCCAATTTATATAGTCTAATTAATAAATACAACATTTCATGCAACTCCTAATGCAAGGCCCCTATGTTAGCCTTGAACTATGATATATGCCTCTGGACAAACATAAATATTAACTGAATTTAATAACTAACCATGGAGTTTTGGGTCATTACAACTGCTTAAAAAATTATATGTAAAGGATATAGGAGTAAAGGAACAGGAGTTTCTAAACGTGAAGTTTATTTTATTTTATTTATTTATTTATTTTGAGACAGAGTCTCACTGTGTTGCCTGGACTAGCGAGCTGTGGCGTCGGCCTAGCTCACAGCAACCTCAAATTCTTGGGCTCAAGAGATCCTTCTGCCTCAGCCTTCCAAGTAGCTGGGACTACAGGCATGCGTCACCATGCCCGGCTAATTTTTTCTATATATTTTTAATTGGCCAATTAATTTTTTTCTCTTTTTAGTAAAGACAGGGTCTCACTCTTGCTCAGGCTGGTTTTGGACTCCTGACCTTGAGCGATCCACCTGCCTCCCCAGAGTGCTAGGATTACAGGCGTGAGCCACCGCGCCTGGCCTAAATGTGAAGTTTAAACAAATACTTAGTAACAAAAGGAAAATTTGACTGCAGACTGCTTATAATTACCTTGTTAAAAGTGATTCTCACCTTTTATTCATCCTACCCCCTTTGTTTTAAAATACTGTCATGGCATACGATTAGCAATGATGGAATGTCAGAAAATAGTAGGTCAATTCCACATATGAAGGACTCAGTTCATTCTACTGTTAAATAAAGCATCATTGAAAAGTTTAAATCCAAAGATATATCTTTGGTGCACCAGCCCAGCTTTTTTCTATTTGCTCTTTGTACCATTTAGTAGATTTCACACTGGATGTTGACCGACATTAGTCAAACATGTGCAAGGACACTCTATCCATGGACAAAAAAACAGAGTGTTACTGGTGGTATATTTTTATCTTTATGAAGAAAAATTGACCTGCTTAACAATGACTGAATTTTTCTTATGTGAAAAAAGATGTTCATAAGTTAACATGAGACTGTACTCTGATTCTCACAAAATCCCAGGATGCTCAGAACTCTTCTGATGTCCTGGAGATGCTACTTGGGAGGAACAGCATGAATGTCCTTTGGGCTGATGTATGTCACCCAGTGTCTGCTTGGCTGGCAGCCTGAACCAAGATGTACCTGGGATATCTCGGCACCACCCAGAGACACTAAATAATCTTGCCAGCGTGAATTGGTAGAATCTTAGAATATTGTTTTGCCAGGTGACACAATTGGCAGATGATACAATAAGGTAACTGAGACTAAAATAATTTGGGGAAGGGAAATGGAGATAATTTAGGCTCAGTTGTTCTACTTGCTATTAGAAGTGTTTTTGGTTGTTTTTTTTTTTGTTTTTTTTTTACTTTTAGAAAAAGAACAATTGATTAGGAAATAACTGCTTTAACTGATGCATTAATTTGATGATTCTAAACAATTTTATGAATTCTGTTTTATGTTATTTGTCTCCATTACTTAACCTGACCATCATAGAATAGTAAAATTCTTAAGAATGAGAGCTTGCAAATACCAGCCACATAGACCAATATCTTAGTTAACAAAATATTAGTAGTTTTCACATTAAATCCCAAACAATCTATTATTCCATTAAGAACTATTAAAATGGACAAACAATAGGGACCTGATATAATCTTTAGTAGATGGGGTTCCTTTCTTTTGAGAGCCTATGGAAAGGACCACATGATTCCAGAAAAATCTATCCAATTTATAAGATGGCACATTAGGAAAGTTAGTGATCTAAATAATAATTCTTAGGAAAAAGTCTGGTTTTCTCTGGGGCAATGATTAGTTGAGACCTGTACAAGGAAACCAATTACAACATGTTGACTGAGCTGCAAAATCAGGCAGGTGGTTGACTCAGCAGAAAAAATATGAAGTTCAGGCTGTAAGTTGCTTAGGTTTTTATCAGCTTGCATTTTTCTTAGCTGAATTGAATATAGGCAGAAGGGTCAAAACATTTTGGCTTACCAGGCAGCCAGATGGTCTAGGGAATAATGTCTTAATTACCAAATGACTCTATTTTATAGTGTCCCTGGGGAAACTAAGTTTCAAAACTGTGTCCACAAAGAACCTACATAGTTGTAATTGTTTGATAATTATTTTATTTTTTCTTGATTATGTAAGTAAAAATTCCAAACACTGCCGAAATGTAAGACTTAGATAAAGTGCATGTCATCTTCCCTCTCCTCCGTTTAGATAATGATTTCTCACAGTTTATGTATACATATTTGGATTTTTTTGGTATATGTGAATATATGTATATATATATAATTTTTTGCTGAAATGGAAATTTACTACATGCTTTTCAACAAATGCTTTTTATGCTAAACTTCTCAGCTATTTACATCAATACATGTTGCTCTATTTATGAAGTTGTAAACAGAACAAAACAATATACTCCCCAAGAGGAGCCCTAGATATTTAAGAGTAGCCCATAATGGTAGGGTAAATTTATGCCTGGCTTTGCTTGAGAAAACTACCATCCTTCCTAACCCACCTTGGGGGCAAATGCGTTCCATCCTGGTCGCCACATATTTTGGCAGAGATCACCTGCAGCAACAGCACTCAATATGGGGTTAAGGAACGGGCTTTGAGTGACTTATTAATCAAGTGTTGGCAAGAAGAGAGGGGGTTTATGGTCCCTGACACTGCATCATCCCTCTGCCTTTCCCTGTTGTAGGGTGAGTGTGAAGCAGAATCTTCTCGGTGGAGGTACAGACTAACCTCTTGATTGGCAGACTGTGTGGGTTTAGATGTCATCTCTTTTTAGGAGTTGTCTAGAAAAGCCAGCTGGCCAGCCCTGGAGACCTTAAGAAAGTATGGGAAGTTGCAGCCCCCTCTTCCAGGGAAAGGTAGTCACCAGTCTTATGGGAAGCTGAGTTTGGGGAGGCCTCTGCAGATGAGAGGAGAGGGATGCTGCCAACAATTTATTGTCTAGACAACCCAGTGTGAGCAATCTAGGTCATGTTCAGACAATACCACTTCCGGCATTCTCCTGGTTAAATCATTGTTTTGGGGCAGGCTTGAACAGTAACAGAACTAATATTTTGGCATCACCTAGTGGTTTGGTGACAACTGTTTAATTTTCTAACACAGTTGATCTCTGCAATACCTTCTTCCAAGTAATTTAGTGTTGCCTTATCCTACTATGTCTTCTACAAAGGTGAGATAATCATCCTTTTAATTAGCATGATACTTGTCTATTTTAATTTTATATAGAAAATTTGTTATAATTTTAGTAAAAGAATTTCACCATAAAGTCTTAATCCATTTTCTCATAGATTTTTTATTTGCATATTTCCTTTTCACCCATGTTCATATCATTTACACATTTAATCTGAAGTGTATATATAGTAATTTTGTTCTATACATTTTTTTTTTTTTTTTTTTTTTGAGACAGAGTCTCACTTGTTGCCCAGGCTGGAGTGAGTGCCGTGGCGTCAGCCTAGCTCACAGCAACCTCAAACTCCTGGGGTCAAGCGATCCTGCTGCCTCAGCCTCCCGAGTAGCTGGGACTACAG